GCAGTTAGAATTAAGATAGCTAATCACCTCACTGTTTTTAACATAAAAAGTTTATCCTGGATTGTGTAGATGAGCCCAATATAATCAGAAGAGGAAGTCAGAAGAGTCAGAGAGATGTAGTTGAAGAAAGATGCAGAAGACATAGGTAGAAAGAGAAGTCAGAGAAAATGGAAGCATGAGAAGGATGCAGTCCGCTGTTGGTAGCTTTGAAGATGGAGAAAGGGGAACCGTTGGTCATGGAATGTGAATGGCCTATTAGAAACTGAGAACAGCAACAGCCAGCTAACAGCCAGCAAGGAAACAGGACTTCCATCCTACAACTGCATGGAACTGAATTTTGTCAACAATATGAATGAAAGTGTATTCTCCAGAGGTTCCTGAAAGGCACATAGCCCTGACAATACCTGATTTTAGCTTGGTGAGAGTCGTGTCTGACTTCTAGCCTACAAAACTGGGAGGTTATGAATGGGTGTTTTAAACTGCCAAGTTTATGGTAAATTGTTACAACAGCAATAGAAAACTAATATAATAGTTGTGCCTAGAAATCTGTCTAATATTCCTTTCTGTACCATTAGGTTGTTTCTCTTCTGTTATAAAGAATAATGGCATGAGGGATAACTCGTGTGTGTGAGAGAATGGACAGGGATTCCTAGGATTGGAATTCCTGGTCATAGATAATACAGGGTCCTGCCTTTATTACCTGAAGGAGTAATCACATTTCTCAGTTTCAGCTATGAAAGTGGGTTGTTAAATTTTTAGATTTGCCAGTTCGGTAGATAAGGAGTATTCTATCTCCCTGTAGTTTCGGTTTGCTTTTCTCTTATTATTGGTGAGTTTGAGTGTCTTCTTATGCTTCAGTACCATTTAGATTTTTTTTTCCCTGTAGCATGTATATTTATGTTCATTGCTTGTTTTTTTGTTGGGGTTTGGTCTTCTTTCTCAATTTCTGGGAACTTCATATATGAGGGAGATTACTTTTTGTCTGTGATATGAGTGTAAGTATGTTTCCCCAGTTTGTCTCTCGGTGCTGCCTTTTAATATTATTTGCTATGTAGAAACTTTTTACTTTTATGAAATTAGACTTACCAATCTTTTCTTTCATAGCTTCTGAATTTTGAGTCACAGACTCCCCCCCACCCCACCTAAAGGTTATAAAGAAATTTTCAGTTTTTTTACTTCTAATACTTTAATGGCCACATTTTTTACATTTAAATTCTGGTCTTTATGGGGTTATCCTAGTGTAGTGTATGAATTACAAATCTAATTTTACCTCTTACCAAACCCATCGTCATTTATTTTGAAGTCCAGCTGTACCTATCTACTTTGAGATGTCACCCTTTTTGCATTCTGATTTCCCCTTTATCTTGGATCTTTTTGTCCTGTTCCATTAATTGATCTGAGTATTCATGAGTCAGTTCCACACTACTTTAACTGTTGAGCTTTTATTATCTGGCTAAGTCCTCCCTAGTTTTCTTTTTCTTTTTTTAAACATTGATTTTATTTATTTGAGAGAGAGAGCGCACATACACACACATTCTCTCTCTCTTATGTTTATAAATTAACATACAGAGAACTGACATCTTTATGATTTTTTATCTTTTTATCTGCGCAAGTCTATTTTTGTGTCCATTAAGTGGGTTTTAAAGCTTTTCATACATATTTTTTAATTATTTCATGCTATATTTATTACTGGGTGTTTTATCTCAGCAGAGATAATCATTGTAGTTAACAGTATGGTCTTTATCCTTCTATGCTTTTTCTGTACTTATATAAACTCTTTAATCTAGTAGTTTTCAAAGTGCTATGCAGGAGTTTCTGGGCTACTTTCAGGGATTTTGCAAAATTAAAGCTATTTTCATAATAATAATGACATTATTTTCCTTTTTCACTGAGTTGAACAAAAGGAATCATGAGTGAACGACTGACAACTTAGCACAAATCAAGGCAGTTTCTCCAGATGGGAATGGGAAGTATGCTATAGCTGCATATTATGGTTGTCTCAAAAAAAAAAAATCACTTGTATAATGGAACTGTAAACTGATCTAGTTTTAAAAAACTTTTAAAGTTTTAAAAAACTGTGACAATTCATATGACCTAAAATTCACCATTTCAACCATTTAAAGTATATACTTTAGTGGGTTTTAGTATATTGACTATATTGGGGAACTACCACCACTATATAATTCTAGAACATTTTCATTACCTGCAAAAGAAAGTCCCTACTCATTATGCAGTCATTCCCATTCTCTCTTCCTCCAGTCCTGACAACTACCAATCACCTTCTGTCTCAATGGATTTTCTTTTTGTGGACATTTCATATTGGTAAAAAAAAATAATCATAAAAAATAATCAACTTTTTTATGTGTCTTCTTTCACTTAGCATACTGTTCTCAGGATTCATTCATGTTGTGGCATGTGTAGTATTTCATCCCTTTTTATAACCAAATAATATTCCACTGTATAGATACACTTCATTTTATTTACCCATTGGTCAGTTTATGGACTTTGGGGTTTTTCCACTTTTTGACTCTTAGGAGTAATGCTGCTGTGAACATTTGTGTACAAGTTTTTGTATCAACATGTGTTTCCAGCAACTTTTTTCATAGAACATCACTTTTACTTTATTGACAAGGCTATTCTCATTTAGACTTGGGTACTTGGCAGACATTTTTTGAAAATGAATTAAGTGACTCTGTCACTTCAAGGAAAACACCTAACAGTATTTGTTAATATTTGTAAAGTTTAAGCTTTCAAGCAAAAATTAGAATTGTAGAAAACTTGTGAGTGTGACAACTTTCCAGTAAAGAATTTTCTGATGAGATTGGTGGTAATATGAAGGAATGTGACCTTTTGATAGAGTATAATGAAATGTGTCAACATTTAGAAGAGTTGCATAACTCAGTGAACCAGTATTTTCCAGATGACCAATGCCTAACACTATAAAATCATGTATAGGTAAAATGTCCATTTGAAGTACAGAATAGACTAGAAGGTTTTTTCAAACAGCTTGAGGCAAATGTACTTCCAATATAGTATATCCCTTCTGAGTATACAATTCAATGATTTTTAGTAAATTTATATAGTCATAATCATCATCTCAGTCCACTTTTTAGAACATTTACATCATTATAAAAGGATTTTTTGTGCCAGTTTGCAGTCCTTGCCCTTTACCATCTCCAGCTCTAGGCAACTGCTAATGTACTATCTGTTTCTATAGTTTTACTGTAGAATGGAATCCTATAAATGAAATCATAGAATGTGTAGTCTTCTGCATATGGCTTCTTAGCATGTTTTTTTGAGGTTTATCCATGTTGTGTGTATCAGTAGTTTGGTCTTTTTTAGTGCTTAAATACTATCCCATTGTGTGGATATACCACATTCTACTTATCCTTTTATCATTTGATGGGGTATTTGGGTCATTTCTGTTTTTTGACAATTACGAATAATGCTGCTATAAACATTCTTGTATAGGTTTTCGTGTAGACATATGTTTTCAGTTAGTTCTCTTAGTTATAAACTTAAAAGTGGTATTTCTGGGTCATATGATAACTCTGTGTTTAACATTTTCAAAAATTACTTGTTTTCCGAGTGAGTGCACCATTTTACAATTCCAACTGCAATATCTGAGAGGTCTAGTCTCTTCACATCCTTACCAACAGAAGTTGTTTTCATTTTAATTATAGCCATTCTAGTGGGCACGCAGTGGTATCTCATCATGCATTTCCCAGATGACTAATAATTTTGAGCATCTTTTTCTGTGTCTTTTGGCCATTTGTACTTCTTTGATAAACTGTTAACTATTTTGTCCATTTTTTTTAAAAAGTATTTATTTGAGAGAGAGAGAGAGAGAGCACAAGCAGGGGGAGGGGCAGAGGGAGAAGCAGACTCCCTGCTGAGCGGGGAGCCCAACGGTGGACTTAGTCCCAGGACCCTGAGATCATGACCTGAGCTGAAGGCAGCCACTTAACCTACTGAGCCACCCAGGCGCCTCTTTTATCCATTTTTAATTCAAGTTATCTTCTCGTTATTGAGTTGTAACAGTTCTTCATATATTCTAGGTAGAAGTCCTTTATTACAGAAACAATATGCATAGATTTTCTCTGAGTCTGTGCCTTGTCTTTATTTTTTTAATGCTACTTCAAAGTAAAAGTTGTACATTTTAATGAAGCCCAGAACAATGGATTTTATGAAGAGTTCCTTGGTGTGGTTTTAGATTCCATCTCAGTTAACTTTTAAGTTACCATTTGTAGAGTTTTGATGTTATATTATTATCCAAAAGGACAATTAAATTGTCCCATTTTCCAATTTTATGTCTGTATGAAGGTGGATTTTCTTCATGTATTTCAAACTAAACTTCTTGGTGCCAACAGATTGAATGCAGAAATGGATACCTAGGATCTAGTTTTCTTTCATTAAGCCAGACATAAAAGAGATTTACAAAAATGTAAAACAATACCACTTTTGTCACCACTTTGGTTTAAATATATAGTTGTTTTTCATGAAAATGTTACTTATGTTAGCATGTAATATATTTAATGTTAATGTTAAGTGAATTGGATAAATACTTAAAATTTATTTGTTTTAATTTCTAATACAGTATATATCAATAGGTATGACTCATATAAACTGAAGTTCTTTGAGAGCAGTAATAATTTTCAAAAATGTAAAAGGCTCTTGAGGCTAAAATAAAATTTGAGGACCATTTCTTTTATTATTTTACATGCTGATTCAGAGTCACATAAGACAGTTCTCTCATGTTTATAGCATTGCTTTCTAATTTTCATACAAGTTGGTCTTGTTTCCCTACCAGATTGTTAGCTTTTTGAAAGCAGGGACCAAATGTATTGCTTTTATTTATTTTCTCAGAAGATCGTGTTTATTCCTGGAATAAGTGTCCATTGAAGACTTAACAGGGGATTGAAGGATTCCCCACTGGCTGACCGTGTTAGGGCAGCATTTACTATGTTGGCTTTAACATATAGCTATATTTTTTCATTCAGGTGGAAGAGCACAATGGTCACATCTTTAAAGCTACCCAGTATAGCATCCCTACATACTGTGAGTACTGTTCTTCTTTGATATGGATAATGGACCGAGCCTCTGTTTGCAAATGTAAGTATGAGTGATTTTTTTTTTTTAAGGAATTCATTGCAGCAATTGCAGACATTTCACCATGAACCTTCTTTTTGCTATAAAACCTTGTCACATCTGGCAGAACTCATGTACTTTGTGAGATCCCCGTATATCCATTCTTTGAAGCACAAAATAAAGTCCAGAGACCTGAACTGACTTCCCAGGTTCCCAGGGGTCCCACTTTAAGCTTGTGGCTAAGAAGGGTCCTGTCCCTGCTCTCTGGACTCACGGCCAAGCAACTCTTCTAGAAGCTTTTTATCCACATCTAATAACCTGAGGACTCAGTCTGAACTTCTCTGAAGCCAGAGGAAGAGCTGCTCTGAGGGAAGACACTTACCCTGTCACCATACCGTTACTGTATTTATTAGCCAGTATGAGTGATCTTTGAGGAGTTTTTTTAACCACTTAACATTTCTGTTTTCTAAGTTTACTCATATCTTTTTTAACATAAAGGGGTAATTTACATTTCCTGATTCTTTAGCCTCCTCTCACTATGCTCTTTCACCTACTCTCTAGCCAAACTAGATATTTTGGTATTGTTTGCTCATTGTACTTGCAGCTTACTTTATCTGAAATGCTCTTCTCCCAGATACTAGTTTGACTATTTCAGTTAATCTATGTCTCCATCCAAATGTTACCTCTTAGAGAACTCTTTCCTTACTGTCATATCTAAAATGCCACTTGGTCCCCTAATTCTCTGTCCCCTTACCCAGCTTAATAGTCTTCATAGCACTTATCACTACACAAAATTATATTAAGTATTTGTTTTCTTGTTTTCAGTCTGTCCACTAGAATGTATGCTCTGTAAGGTCAGGAAACTTAATTGTTTCTTCTGTATCACCAGTACCTAGAACAGTTCTGGTATTACAAGTTTTGTTAAGTTTTTGTTGGGTAGATGGATGGATGAATTAATGAAAAAATTACTAGATTATAACCTAATTATAACCTAATTATAAAAAAGATACTTTTTTCTACTCTAATCTTTTCATTAGAATATATAAGCCCTAGAATGTGAGTTGAAACTTTTTTTTAGGTCACCTTCATTCTGGCTTACAGAGGACCTTTAGCTTCCACTTCTGTCATGCCACACATCTACTCTGGTGCTTTCAGTAATTCTGCGAGGTTTTGCTTACTAGTGGGCCAGAATTGAATGGATGAAATATTAGGAAGGGTTTGTCCAGTAGGACAAGGATGAAAGTCATGTTTGCCATAGTGAAATCACAACTATTGCTAGATATGTTCACTTGTTCTATCGTTCAACAGTGGTTTCTTTTTTGTTTTATTATTAGTAGTCTAAAAAATTATAGTGAGAACAAAATGGGAAGTGGTTTGCCATTAACTTGACTGTTGAATGTTTGAATCTTGTAGGTTTGGCATAATTTTCTCTGTGTTTTGAAACTGAAAATGTAAAAAATCTGCTTTTTTTATGACTTGGGTGAGCTTGGTTTGATTTCTTAATAGAATTAAGTAACTTTCTTTGTGATTATACTGGTGATTTCATCAGCAGAATGATATGGCCTCCCTTTCCTTTGAAAACCCCACAAGTTATACTTTAGAAGTTCAAGAAGGATATTTAGGTGTTGATATCCAGGAGCTAGAGCTGGTGTAGCAAAATGACTTATTTCAAATACATTTCAGTATTCTCCTCTCACTGCTTCTTCCCATCTATCAACTGCCTAGCCACCCTGTTCTCTGTTGCTCCAAGGAATAATTTCTCTTCTGAACATTTTCTTTATGTTGTCTTCCCAGTCACAACTGATATTGTTTATGTTCTGGTTCCTCAGAGCTCTATTCTGGACTTTCTAAGATAATAAGGCTTTTCTTCTATCTTAATGTGCTATGTACCTTGTTTTCATTTTAGTAAGGGTCTTTGGCAGTAATGTCTTTCTTACCCATTGGAATGATTCTTAATCGGTATTTCTGGCACTTTAACAGATTGTAGAGCAGGCATATTAGGGGAGCATAAAGACTAATTTGTGAATCAAGTCACAAAGAAAGTATTCTGTAGGAATATAGTGGGAGCAGGGGGAGAAGCAGGCAGTCTTGAAAGATTCAAAGCTTTTTCATAGACAGTTGTTAGAAATTTTAGGCATGTTTTTCAACCTCATTGTTCTAAATAGAATGGGCTAAATCCTTTTTTATTGTAATACCATACCAAGTATGTATATGATATTACAGCAGTATCAGATTTAAAGAAAAAATTTATGTCCAAAATAAAGCTGTAAACTTTTTAAGTTCTTGTCATTGATGTACAGACTTCTAAAAGTGCTGCATTCCTATCCTGTTTTTCAGTATGCAAATATGCTTGCCATAAGAAATGCTGTCTGAAAACCACAGCCAAGTGCTCTAAAAAGGTAAGAAATTATCACCTGTGAGTAATAAATAACAGATCTGTTGATCTTTTCTGCCTTGTGAAAGAAATCAAGTCCTCTTTGATGGTTTTATAGAGCAGTGGTTTTTAAACTTTTTGACCACAAATCACAGAAATATATTTTATGTCATGATCTAGCATATATATATATATATATCTCAGGATATATTTGTATAATTGAATTGATTTTCCTGGAACTATATTTACCTTTACTACTTGGGAGAGCTACTAAACTGGTTTCACTGCTGACAGTTTATTAAAACACTGCTTTTAAAGATTTCCTACCTCATTAAATACTCATAAGCCTTCCTAGGAATTGTCTTGAAAGTGGTAGGCTATAACTAAAGATTTTAACATTACAGCAAAATCCACCAGCTCATTGGTGTTTTTACATATTTCTACTTGGATACACAGACAGAGATCTAAAAGATAACTAAACGTGTATTCTGATACTTCATCTTCAAGGAAGCAATGAGTTTTGAAAGATTGCAGGCTTTTATTGATATATAATCATATTTTTTTACTTATTAGTCATATACTGACAGTCGTGACAATACTGTACAAATCTGAACTGTAATATAAATGTGTGTGTTTGTGTTGTTTACAGTCCATGTACAGAATTTGCATCTGTACATGGACATGTGCTTCCAACTAAGATGGAATAGCTTGTGGCAGACTACTTATCCATGCTAAGAACATCGGAAGAAAATGTTACTACACATCAGAGAGCTGCCCAAGCAGATTGGACTTTTGGGGTATAGATCCAGGAGAGAAGATAATTGCAGAGTGATGAATCTGTGTCTGTGGGATGTTTTTCTCCTAGTGGGAGTTTGTCGATTTTTGTTGTAGGACAAGAAACCAAGGTTCCGGGTAGAGGGCCACATTCAAAACTTAAGAGAAGTCAGCAAAACTTTTAGGAATCTCATAGAGCTATGGAATCGAAAGTTGGAGTTTGGGATTGCCAGGACTTGAGGGACCATGATCCAGACATAACTCTGAAATTTAGAGGTTTTTCCCTCAAGGCATTTTTTGAGTTCTTAAGCTACATGGGGTAAAAGGCTAAGAAGCTAAACAGGAAAAAAGATTAGATTTTTCTGTAGTTTCACATTGCTAAGGAAAGAAAAATTGGAGTTGGAAATACAGAAATAAACATGAGAAACATACAGGAAAGGATGAAAGGTTCTTAAATATAAACAAAGACAAGAAATGAGAGAAAAAAACAAATTAGGTCAGTAAAGAAAATACATAGATTGGTAGGTATAAGTCCAAATATATTGGTGATTACTTTGAATGTTAATAGGCAAGATACTTCCAATTAAAAGACTAGGTTAAAACCAACTGAAAATTCTCAAATGATACGCTCTTAACAAGCAACATACTTAAATATAAAGATACAGAAAGGTTAAAAGCAAAAGGATAGATAGAGCATGCAAAGACTAACCAGTAGAAAGGTGGTGTAGCTATACTAATATTAAGGTGTATTTTAGGGCAGAGAAACATTACTTCTGATAAAGGTGTTTCATAATGATAAAATGGTCAACCTGTCAGGGAGATATGAAAATTCTAACTTTAGAAGAGTCTTAACATTATTGCTTCAATACCTGACGGACAAAAATTTAGTAAGGATGTAAATGATACGAAAAACAGGATGAAAAAATTTGAACTAGTTGATGTGTATTGAACCCTGCATCTTACAACTGCCTGAATCAGTCTTTTCAAGTGCACGGAACATTTGAGAAAATTGATCATATGTTGGGTCAAAAAGGAAGTCTCTACAAATTTCAGAGGATTGAAAATAATTGAGAGTACAATTTTTGACCAGAGTGGAATTAAGCTCTAAATCAACATAAAGATAACTAGACAGTCCTCAAGTACTTGGAAATTTAAGGTTGGTTCTGGGGGAACCAGGAGGGTGGAGCCCTCACCTTTAAAGAGATAGAATAACAAACAGTCCTGCTGAGATAAAGCATAGAAGCAGCAGTTTTTGAAAAATGCCTGGGATATATGGGAAGGAGATTTATTTCCTAATCTCAGAACATGTGCTGGAGAGGCAGGGATCTTTGGGGGACTTCTTCAAGAACAGAAGAGTTGGTGGGTATCATTTCCTTCCCTGCCTCTAGCCTAGATACACAGGCATCTCTGAGAACTAGGGTGCTGCAACAGCACTCTCCTCCTAGCTTGCTGTTGGTGCACCTGCCCCCATGTTCTCCTGTGGAAATGCCCCCTCCAATACACCGTTGGCCAGAGCCCATCCAAAGTGGTACCACGAGACTGGTAGTGTGCAAGTGGCCCTGACAGGAGCCAGCACCACTCCAAAGCGTTTCCTGCTCCGGAGAGAGTGAAACATAACCAGACACGCCAGTACAGTTGCAGCCCCAGCAGTGGGCTGGAGGCAGATATCATGTCCAACTGCAGGCCTTGCCCACCAGCAAAAGCTTCTCAGGGGACAACACAGGGAAAGTGCCCTGTACTTCAGTGCTACTGCATCTCTGGCAAACTCCTGGTCTGTTTCAACTTAAGTCCATGGTGGTCCCAGACTGGCCCACTAACAACACAGGGACCAACCCTGCCCACAACAGGCAGAGCGAGCCATTGTAGATGACTGGACTGAAGACTCAGTCACAATAGCAGGGTGCATAAAACACACATAGGAGACACCCCTGAAGTACCAGGTTCTGGTGAACAGGGGACATTGCATTGTAGGCCATTATAAGACCTCTCTTTCATTCTTTTTTTTAAAGATTTTATTTATTTATTTGACACAGAGAGACACAGCGAGAGAGGGAACACGAGCAGGGGGAGTGGGAGAGGGAGAAGGCTTCCCTCTGAGGAGGGAGCCTGATGTGGGGCTTGATCCCAGGACCTGGGATCATGACCTGAGCTGAAGGCAGACACTTAATGACTGAGCCACCCAGGTGCCCCAAGACCTCTTTTTCATAAAGCCACCACGTTAAAGAGCAGGAGATGTAGCTGACTTTCCTAACACATAGAAACAGACACAGAGAGTTAGACAAAATGAGGAGACAGAGGAATATGTCCCAAATGAAAGAACAAGACAAAATCCCAGCAAGAGAACTAAATGAAACAGAGGTAAGTAATATGCCTGATAGGGAATTTAAAGTAATGGTCATAAAGATACTCACTGGACTTGAGATAAGAGTAGAGGACCTCAGTGAGACCCTCAAAACATGCAAAAGGACCAATCAGAAATTAAGGACCTAATAACTGAAATTAAAATACATTAGTTGGACTAAATAGGAGACTAGAGGAAGCAGAAGAACAGGTCAGCAGCCTGGAGGACAGAGTAATGGAAAGCTAACTGAACAGGGGAGAGAAAAAAAAATAGTAAATGAAAATAGACTAAGGGAACTCGCAACACCATCAAGCATAATGACATTCACACAGTAGGGACTCCAGAAGGAGAAGAGAGAGAAAAGGGGGCAGAAAATCTATTTGAAGAAATAACAGTTGAAAACTTCCCTAATACGGAGAAGGAGACAAATCCAGATCCAGGAAGGACAGAGGGGCCCCAACAAAATCAACCCTAGGAGGTACACACGAAGGCAGATAGTAACTAAAATGGCCAAAACTATTGATAAAGAGATAATTTTAAAAGCAGCAAGAGGAAACAGATACATACAAGAGAACCCCTTTAAGGCTAACAGCTGGTTTTTCAGTAGAAACTTTGAAGGCCAGAATGGAGTGGCATGACATATTGAAAAATGCTGAAAGAAAAAACCTGCAACCAAGAATACTCTATCTAGCAAGGCTATGAGTCAGAATAGAAGGAGAGATAAAGAGTTTCCCAGACAAACAAGTTAAAGGAATTCATCACCACTACACTAGCCCTACAAAAATGTTAAAGGGGACTGACTGGAAAGGAAAGACTGACCATAAGTAGGAGTAGTAAGAAAAATAGGAAGCATAAAGCAGTAAAAATAAGTGTACCTATAAAAATCAGCCAAGGGACTAACAAAAGATGTAAAATGTGACACTATATACCTAAAACATGGGGAGTGGTGAGGAGTAAAGAATGGGGTCAAATTTCAGTGACCACCAACTTAATATAGACTGCTAAATGCATAAGATGTTACATATAAACCTAATGGTAACCACAAATTACAAACCGGTAATGGATATACAAAAAGTAAAGAAAAAGGAATACAAGCATATCACTAAAGAAAGCTAGCAAACCGTGAGAGAAGAGAGTAAGAGAAGAAAGGAACAGAAAAGAACTATAAAAGCAACCATAAAACAATTAAAAAAATGACAGTAAATACATACCTATCAGTATTTACTTAGAATGCAAATGGACTAAATGCTCCAATCAAAAAACTTGGTGTGATGGAATGAATGAAAAAAAAAGACAAAACCAAGTCCCATGTGTATGCTTCCTACAGCAGACTCATTTCCAACTTAAAGACACTTGCAGATTGAAAGTGAAAGGATAGAAAAGCATTTATCATGCAAATGGACGTGAAAAGAAAGCCAGGGTAGAGCAATACTTATATTGGACAAAATGGACTTTAAAACAGACTGTTAGGGGCATCTGGCTTACTCATTTGGAGAAGCATGCGACTCTTGATCTCGGGTCATGAGTTTGAACCCCATGTTGGGTATAAAGAGTACAAAAAAAATAAGTAAAAACTTTTTAAAAAATTAAAAAACAAAGACTGTTGAGAGACAAAGAAGAACACTATATAATCATAAAGGGAACAATCCGACAAGAAGATATAACAATTATAAATATTTATGCACCCAACATGGGAGCACCCAAAATATATAAAGCAGCTGGTAACAAACAAAGTAATCAATAGTAATACAATAATAGAAAGGGACTTGATACCCCATTACATTAATGGATAGATCATACAGACAGAAAATCAACAAGGAAACAGTGACTTTGAATGACACATTGGACCAGATGGATCTAAAAGATGGATCTAAAAGATATATTCAGAATATTCCATCCCCAAAACAGCA